AAGAAATCTGGAGTGACTATATTAGTATCAAAGTAGATTTCAGAGCAAGGAATATTCACAGAGATAAAGAAGGTCTTTTCCTCACAATAGCGGGGTCAATTCATCAGGAAGACATAACAGTTCTAAACATGTATGCACTTAATGACAGAGCTTCAGAATATGTTAAGCAAAAATGAATAGAGCTGCAGAGAGAAATAGACAAATTCACAATTACAGTTGGAGTTTTCAATACTTTAATAATTTTTAGAAGAAACAGGCAGTAAATCAGCAAGGATATAGTAGACTTGAATAACATTATCAGTCAGTTTGACCTGACTGATATTTATAGAACACTCCATCCAATAATTGTAGAATACATGTTTTTTAAGTGTATGTGGAACATTTTTCAAGATAGATCAAGGTGGCCATAAAACGAATTTCAATAAATTCAAAGTATTTAAATAATACAAAATATATTATCTGACCAATTAGTAACAAAAATGTCCTTGGAAAAAATCCCAAAATGTTGGGAAACTAAATAGCATACTTCCCGATAACTCATGAATCAAAGAAGCTAAAAGGGAAATTAGAAACTACTTTGAATGAAATGAAAAGGCAAACACAATATATCAGAATTTGTGGGATGCAGCTTAAGCAGTACTTAAGGGGAAATTTATAGCACTAACCATCTATATGAGAAAGGTGAAGTTTCTCAAATCAATGACCTCAGCTTCCACCTTAAGACACTAGAAAAAGAAGAGCAAGTAAAGCCCAAAGTAAACAGAAGAATGGAAATGATAAAAATCAGAGCAGAAGTCATTGCAATGGAATTAAAAAGAACAGAAAAACCAATGAAAGCAAAAGCTGATGCATCGAGAATATCAATAAAATGATATACCTTTAACCAGAAAGATAGGAAAAGGGAAGACATACATTACTAACATCAGGAACAAGAGAGGTGACAGCGTTATGGATTCTACATATATTAAAAGGATAATAGAATATTATGAGCAACTTTATTCCGATAAACTCGACAACGTTGATGGAATGGATCAACGTTGATGGAATGTCCTTAAAAGACACAAATTACCAAACCTGACTCATGAAGAGTAATCTTACTTCTATTAAAGAAATAGGTGTTGTAGTTAAAAAGTCTCCCAAATGGCTTCACTGGCGAATTCATCAAACATTTAAGGCATAAATGCCAATTCTACATGAACTCTTATAAAAAAATGAAGACGAAGGGATATTTCTCAATTCTTTATGTAAGGCCAGCATTACCATAATACCAAAATCAGACAAAGACATTACAAGAGAAAAGAACTATAGATCAATGTGTGTTATGAATACAGATAAAGATATTCTGAGAAAATATTAGCAAATTGAATCCAACTGTATATTAAAAGGATAATATACGATAATCACAATGAAGCAAGATTTTTTTTCTTTTTTATTAGCAAGGTTTTGCTGTGCTCAGAAATGAATGAGATTTATCTCAGAAAAGCAGGGTTGGTTCAACTTTTGAATATCAATGTAATTTACCATATTATTGAACTAAGAAAGGAAAATCATATGATTGTCTTAGTTGATGCAGGAAAAGCATTTGTCAAAATCTAATACATTCCTGATTTTTTTAAAAAAACCTTAAACTAGGCAGACAAGGAGAGTCCGAGGGGGAAGAGAATTTGCAGACAGGGAGGCTAGGGAGGAAGTTATAGATACAGTTAAGGTAAGAGATGGGATAAAGGGAATGGTGACAGGAGTGGAGAGGACGAAAAGACAGTGATAGATTTCAGAAGTAGAATTGATAGGACTTGGTGACTAATTAGCCTTTGAGGGTCAGAGGAAAAGAAGACTTAAGAATAAACTCAAGATTTGAAAGCATGAGTGTTTGTGTGGAGGTAACGCTCTGACAACTTAGAGAACATAGGAGACAAGATGTCTGCATGTAAGGCGGTTAGTCCCAAGAGAATAGAAAGGGGTGTAGGATAATGAGTTCAGTTTTGTTAATCCCTGATCTATGTGATGTCTGTGTGAACCTATACAAGAACCAGCTAGTCAAAAGCCTTGGTTTTAGTCCTGAAACAAGTCAGAATTTGTTACTCTTTCACCAAATTTTATGCTGATCGTGAACACTTGAGCCGCGAAATAAGGAGCTCCCCATTTTCTGGGGCTTACCCTTTCAGAGCAGAAGGGAAATAAGGATTTCTGGTTGGGAAAGGCCATTCTAGGGCCTGCTAGGGCCAGCTGAGGAGTCATCCCTGACAGTGCTTATTGGGAGGAGCAGGAGGAAAGTGACGCTCAAAAAGAGGGGCATTTCTGGAGGAGGGTTGGCAACAAACTGCTACATTACTTATCTTAACTCTCATTTTCTCTGCAGTGGCTGTAAATGTAGCTGAAGACACAGCTCATCCCAAACTTGTCTTTGCCCAGGAAGGGAGATATGTGAAAAATGCAGCATCAGAGAGTTCATGGCCAGTATTTTCTACAGCATGGAACTACTTTGCTGGATGGAAGAATTCTCAGAAGACCACACACATTGTCGAGAGATTTCAACACTTGCCCTGTGTTCTGGGAAAAAACATTTTCACCTCAGGGAAGCATTACTGGGAAGTTGAGAATAGAGGTGGCCTGGAGATTGCTGTGGGGGTGTGTCAGGAGGACATCATGGGGATTACTGATAGTTCAAGAATGTCCCCCAATGCGGGAATCTGGGCTATTCACTGGAGTTCAGCTGGCTATCGCCCCCTAACAAGCCTCCCTTTAATTCCCCCCAACAAAGAACCAGCTCTTCACCGGGTAGGGGTTTACCTAGATCATGAGGCTGGCAGTGTCTCCTTCTATAGTGCCATGGATGGACTGCACCTACACACTTTTTCTTGTTCTTTTGTCTCCCGTCTCCGGCCGTTTTTTTGGTTAGGTCCATTAGCATCTTTAGTCATCCCACGAGTGACTGATGGGAAATGAGGCTATTCTTCTCCTGCCTCCAAATCCTTCCCTGTACCCTAGCTCAGTGGCACACATCCCCTGGCCCTCTTCTTTGGCTTCATGTGTCAGTATCCTGGGTAGTCCATCTTCTGGGTCTCCCTAATTGAACCATTTGGTATTCGTCCAACATGTGCTTCAGAGGAGTCAGGTCCATGGGAGGTAATTCAGGCCAGTGATGATGAGACAGGAAATTTTCCAAGGTGCTTCTGGGGAATGTATTTGTAGTTTTAAGGAAGAGATGTTTTGGAAGACATAGCCCCACTTCTCATGTTAGCAGGTATTTTGGAACTGAGGAGAACACAAGAAGAGTGGAAAGGTAGAAGAAACACAGTCTTTGTTGCCCTGGTTAAAGTGCTGGAATTTCCCTAATATGAAGCTTCTTATTATATGAGATAATTAATCCCTTCCCTTATTCTATAAGGCAATTTCCATTGCCTTTGGTGACTTGCTGCCTGAGGTACCCTGACTGGCTCTATAGGCACATAGCGTGCACGTCCCCTGTATAGGCTTGTCTCACTTTCTCTGCAATTTGTCAAAGGTACAGAATCCCTTTCCATCCAGTCACGTAATGCCTTTTCTTTTCAGTAAGTACTTATGTCTCCCACTTTTCCAGCTCAGAACCTTGAGGAAGTTTCCCCTAACTCTGCCCATGCTGCTTGTCCTCTGTTCCTGACCATGTCTCTGCCCTCAACCATTTACTGTACTGCACATTTGTCAAGTTCATAAGTTTTTTATAGAGGGCTGTTAGTGTCATAATGACCATGTTGAGAAACCTGTGTTAAATGTCTGTATTGTCCTAGCATCTTCATATCATTCAGCCTGGTGAGATGGAAATTTAAATCCTCTTTGTACAAATGAGAATACTGAACACTTCAGAGTAACTAGCTCAGGATTGCTTAGCTGGTTAATAGGAATGTTGAGATTAAAATCCAGATTTGTCTGAGATGAAAGCCCATACTCTATTCTACTCTACCTTTATGTGTAAACGTTTATTGAATGCTGATTGGGTGTAAGCATCACTTTGTTTCAGGTTACTACTTTGTTATATGTTTTTATCCTGTATATGTTTCCCTGGCTTTACCTTTCTGCTCTAGATTATATGTACTCAGAGGATTGTGACAATTACTCAGTTATTTTAAAAATAATGATTGTTTCTCTTTGGTATAAAAGTCATGTGTATGTATTATATATAATTTGGGACATACAAAAAGTACAAAGAAAATTAAAAGTTATCTATAATCCCACCACTACTAACATTTTAATATATTGTCTCCTAGATTTTCAATAAATACTCTCTGGCAATGGTTTAATGACGATTCTTACAAATTCCCAGCACTTTCCCTTTCCCTCCCTATGTCTCAGCCCATCCTCGCGTGTCTTCGTTTTCAATCTCAGCAGCCCACTCATTCAACAATTTCTACTGACTTCTCAAGTTCCCAGGATACTTGCTGTTTTGGGTTGAATTGTCTTCCCAAAAAGTTGAAGTCCTACCTGTGAATGTGACCTTATTTGGAAATATTAATAGGATCTTTGCAAGTATAATCAAGATGGGGTCATTTAAGTGGGCCCTAATCCAGTACATCTGGTGTCCTTTTAAGAAGATGGAAATTTATACACATGCCCACACATATATCCATGTACACATACAGGAACATGCCAGGTGAAAACACAGAGGGAGGTTGGCTCTGGGAGATGGAAGCAGATTGGAGGCAGAGCTTGTTACACTGTTACAAGCCAAGGAACACCTAGGGCCTCCAGAAGCTAGGACAGGCCAGGAAGAATCCTCACCTAGAAGCTCTGTAGGGAGCATGGCCCTGCCAACACCTCGATTTCTGATTTCTAGCCTCCAAAAGAGGATAGACAAAAATTTCAATTGTTTTTAAGCCACCTGGTTTGTGTACTTTGTTATGGCAGACCTAGGAAACGAATATACTTGCCCATCAGGAATTCCTCCATTATCTGCCTCATTAATTTCTAATCTTTTGGAAACTCATCAGTACCTTTCCTCCACTGTTCCTTCTGGGCTGTCGGAAGGTTGCTCGATTCTGCTACAAATTCTTGTTTTCTGACTTCAAGTGGGCTCTTTGAGCTGCATGGTAAACTTTACTTTTCATCCCTCAACTTCTTTTTACATCTTTGGTGGCAACAATTCCAAACCTTTTCCTCTTTTGTCAAGCCTTTGTGACTGCCTTCATACTTAGTATTGCAAAGAAGTTGCATCTTCAACTGAGAAAAACTTTTTGTCTGTCCCTTTTATTCTTCATGTTTTCTTGCCTTGGTTTTTGAGTCTTGATATCAATCCTTCTGTTCTTGTCAAGTATGGGATGGGATCTATGTGTCTGTATTTATTTTGAAAAAACAAACAGACACCAAAACAAAAACAAACCTCCCAGAAAGTCTGCATGCTTCTTGATGTACAAACAGGATTGAGAAGAAACTGTCGGTTTTCAGTTTTCTTTAGCGATTTCTCCGAGCCTTTACTCTGTTAACGTGTAATCTGACTTATTAGTTTATTTCAAGACAGAAACTTTTGCTCCCAAGCTGGCAATTAGGATTTCCCCAAGACAGTTTGGTGATCACTATCTTACACTTTTTCTGGTCATCTGGGATTTCAACCATTTGCATCCAGAGACTTGAGACCCAAGCTTTCACCACTCACCCTCCAGTTGGTGGTTTCCTCATGTCTGTACTGTTGGCTGTGCATGGATGGAGTGACCCTGTCCCAGCTCTGGGCTGCAGACTCAGCCTGGCTGAGCTCAAGTGTCATGTCCACGGTGGTAAGGTGGTCTCTGGCCCATGGGATGGAGGGAGGAGGAAAGAGGCAGGGAGGGAAGATCAGTCCTTTGGTCTGCTGCAGAAAGGCAGGCAGAAGTAGATCTCAGCACATCATCCACTCTGGAGAGCTCTGCGATTCCTAGAATGGGAGACCAGAAGTTCCCCACTGGGTGGATCCAGAGTGGGTCTGGGTGTCAGATGGCAGTTTGGTCACCATCATGGGGGCCCAGGATGTGCAGTCATGGTGGCTGGGAGCTCCCTGGCCTCCTGGCTGGAGGGCAAGGCTTTTCATTGGTGATGTTAATCTTCATTACTTGGTCAAGGTAGCATTTTCCAGGTTTCTCTGTTGTAAAGTTATCATTTTTCCCTTTCCATAGTTGTGCTTTAAAAGCCAGACACTGTCTCAAGGAACTGGAAAAGGAAGAGCAAACCGACCCTAAATTCCAAAGAAGAAAAATAACCAAGGTCAGAGCAGAACTAAATGAAATAGAGAACAAAAGAACTATAGAGAAGAAAAATGAAAGAAAAAGTTGGTTCTTTGAAAAGATAAAACTCACGGGCCTCTTGCTAGATTGACGAGAAGCAGAAAGGAAAGGACTTTAATAAGTTAGAAATGAAAAAGGCGGAATCACAATCGATATCATGGATATACAAAATATCATCTTTGAATAATATAAAAATCTCTATGCCCATAAACTTGAAAACGTGGAGGAAATGGGAAAATTCATAGAAACACACAATCTCCCTAGGCTCAAACAGAAGAAATAGAATTCCTGAACAGACCGATGTGAAGCACTGAAATTGAAGCAGCAAAAAAATAAAAAAATCTTCCAACAAAAAAAGTCCCGGACCAGATGGTTTCACACCTGAATTTTACCACACCTACAAAGAAGAAATGGTACCTATACTGCAGAAATTATTTGATAATATTGGGAAGAAAAGGATCCTCCTCAACTCATTCTATGAAGCCAATATGACCTTGATACCAAAGCCAGGAGGGACACAACAAAAAAGAAAACTACAGACTAATATCCCTTATGAATATAGAAGCAAGAATTCTCAATAAAATCTTAGCAAACTGAATTCAACTGCACATCAAAAAAAATATTTCATCATGACCACGTGGGCTTCCTCCCATAGATGCAAGGATGATTCAACATATGCAAATCTATAAATGTAATTCACCATATAAATAGAAGCAATAACAAGGACCATATTATCCTATCAATATACTCAGAAAAAGCATTTGATGAAATTTAGCACCCTTTTATGATAAGAACTCCACAAAATTGGCATAGATGGGACATATCTCAAAATAATTAAAGCCATATATGACAAACCCACAACCAACATCATACCGAATGGGGAAAAATTGGAAGTATACCTGCTTAGAACTGGAACCATATAAGGGTGCCCACTATCACCACTTCTATTCAACAAAGTGCTGGAATTCCTTTCCAGAGCAATCAGACAAGAAAAGGAAATGAACAGTATCCAAATGGGGAAAGCAGAGGTCAAACTATCACTTTTTGCTGATGATATAATCTTATATCTAGAATACCCCAAAGATTCAACCAAGAGGACTCCTGGAATTGATGAATGAATTGAGCAAAGTCTTAGGCTACAAAATCAATGCACACAAATCAGTAGCTTCCATATATGTCAATAACAGTCAAGCTGAGAATAAAATCAAAGACGTGATAACTTTCACAATAGCAACAAAGAAAATAAAATACTTAGGAATATATTTAACTATGGAGGTGAGAGACCTCTATAGGGAAAACTATGAAACACTGAGGAAAGAAATTGCAGAGGATGTAAACAGATGAAAAACCCTACCATGCTCATGGATTGGCAGAATCAACATTGTGAAAATGTCTATAGTACTCAAAGTGATTTACAGATTCAATGCAATCCCCATTAACATACCAATGTTATTTTTTGCAGACCTCAAAAAAATAGTTTTACACTTTGTATAGAATCAGAAAAGACCCCAAATAGTTAATGCAATTCTACATAATAAGAATAAATTAGGAGGCATCACTTTACCAGACCTCAAGCTATACTAAAAGGCTATAGTGACCAAAACAGCATGGTACTGGCAGAAAAGCAGAGACATAGAACTATGGATCAGAATAGAGAACACAGATATGAATCGATCTTCATATTGCCATCTGATCTTTGACAAAGCAGACAAAAACATACACTGGGATAAAGAATGCCTATTCCATAGATAGTGCTGGGAAAATTGGATAGCCACAGTAGAAGGCTGAAACAGCATCTACACCTCTCATCTCTCACAAAAATTAATTCACAATGGACAACAGACTTAAACCTAAGGCATGAAACTATAAATATTCTGGAAGAAAATGTTGGAAAAGCTCTTCTAAATATCAGCCTAGGCAATGAATTTGTGAAAAAGATCCCAAAAGCAATCAGAGCAACAACAAAAATAAGTAAGTGGGACCTGATCAAATTAAATAGCTTCCGCACAGCCAAGGACACAATCAATAGAGCAAATAGACAACCTACAGAATGGGAGGAAATATTTGATAAAGGGTCGACAACAAGAATCTACAAAGAACTCTAGCAAATCAGCAAGAAAAAATCAAAAAACAACATTATAAAGTGGGCAAATGACATGAACAGAAACTTTTTAAAGGAAGACAGACTAATGGCCAAGAAACAAATGAGAAAAATGCTCATTGTCTCTAATCGTCAAGGAAATGAAAATCGAAATCACAATGAGATATTACTTAAATCCAGTGAAAATGCCTTTTATCAAAAAGTCCCAAAACAACAGATGCATGTGAGCATGCGGAGAGAAAGATACACTTACACACAGTTGGTGGGACTGCAAACTAGTACAACCTTTATGGAAAGTATTAATAGTATGAAGATACCTCAAAGAACTAAAGGTAGACCTACCATTTGATCCAGCTATCCCACTACTAGGTGTTTATCCAAAGGGAAAAAAGATATTTTATAAAAAAGACACTTGCACTCAAATGTTTATAGCAGCATAGTTCACAATCACAAAGATGTGGAATCAACCCAAATGCCTATCAATACATGAGGAGATTAATAAAATGTGGTATATGTATACCATGGAGCAATACTCAGCCATAAAACAAAATGCTGATCTAGTATCTTTTGTAATAACCTGGATGGAATTGGAGGCCATTCTTCTTAATGAAGTATCACAAGAATGGAAAAACAAACACCACATGTACTCAACACAAAATTGGACCTAATGTATGAACACTTATGTGCACATATG